CTAATCCAATGTTACAAAGCTATATTATATAAAAAAAAAACTAACCAAAAATTCTCAAAAACTTTAGCTTTAATCAAAAGGACAAAATAGTATTGTAAATGAATAATACCAGGAGTGACATTTCATAATAAAAATGTTCTTAACATTAAAAGTGAACAATACCAAGATTGTTTAATTAAGACTTACTATTATATATCCAAACTATATATAATATAGCTTCTTAGTTGAACAGTTGTGCTAATCCTGAATGTTTAGCTAAATTTTGTCAGTTTAGCTAGTTCTACATATAGTCTTTAAATACCAAATTTGTTAATTGTTGGGTTAAAATAGGTAGCTCCTGTTGTAATGTAATATGTGAATTGCCCACATGAATAGTTAATTACTATTCATCCAAAGAAAAATCAGATGGATTATTATTCATAAGAAGAAAAATGGATAGGTTACTATTCATGCACAATATTTCACTATTCATTTGAGGAAAGTCTGTAAAGTGAATAGTGTTGCTATAGATGAGAGCATACGGAAGAAAGAAGATGTGAGAAGAAGAAGAAAGGGATGAGAGAAAAACTTACAGAGGAAAGAAATAGGAGTTATGGAGGAAAAGGAAGAGAAGAGGAAAGAAGAGAGATGCAAAAGAAATTACCAATAAGCCAGGCTATAGAGAAAAGAAAAAATATTGAGAGTTATTTTGTACTCCTATTATTTCAAATAATGAAATAAAGTACTATTGTTGCCTCGATGACGTTGGCACACTTGCCAAATCTCATAAATATTGTGTCTTATTTACTTTATTCCACTGCACACATATCATCAACTTTACAACACGTTAACAACACGAGGAGCTCTCGTGTTGGTGAAAAGCACAACGCTATAAATCCGGTGAAGCACTACCTACCTCTCACCTATGTCGGCTGGAATCTCGCAAAGAAGAAAATTTTGTCATCTCATCTTCATATCTTTGTATGACTAATTTTCTTAAAGTAAATATACATTTGGTTATATAACTATTATCATTATTATTGGCAGAAAATCTGACAGCCATATAAACAGCCTCTAAACTCCAACTTGCGGACCACGAATTGAGCTACTTCCTCATTAAAAGTTGTTCGTCTTCCCAGTACCTATAACATATCAAATTTTCAGAAAATTCCAACGGTGTGATCGTCATATATGTCTGAAAGGCCAACCCAGTTTCCAATTCGGCAAAAAATTGGACAGCCATCTTATGAGTACCGAAACTCCTTTTTCAGTAGCTCAGATCTAAATTGTTTCTTTATGAAAGTTGTTCGGTATCCTCCTATCCATATCATACTAAAATTTGAGCCAAATCTAACAGTTTGATCTTCTCAAAAGTCACAGGCACTACTCTTGACTCCAAAACTTATGGGAACCATTTCAATTTTTTCGAAACTCACTAGAGGAGTAACACCAATTGGGAGTTATTGTTACTATTACTTCCTGGGTAACCAAAAGAACTTAGAACTGTGAAATGTAAAATAAAAAAGATGAAACAAAAGAAAGTGGCAGACAAAGAAAAAAAAATGATGAAGACTTAATCATTGCCTTTTCTGTTTTGGCATATTTATGTGAATGGTACTGGTTTAAAGCCTTATCCCAAGTTTTATTTATTTATAGTGGGTGGAATTATTACCTTTTGCTTTAAAGCTTTGATATTTATGTGAATAGTGCTGAATCAAAGCCCTTGTCACAAGTTTTATTTACTTAAAAAATAATTTATTTATCATGACTGGAATTACCGCCTAATTTATTTAGTGTACTACATTTTATGATAAGTATATAAAAGGACCCGAAGTTCCTTGATCAAATTAGAACCTGAAGTTTCTTGATCCTCATCATATAAAATGATTGGACCCGAAGTTCCATCATTAAAAAAGATCAAACATGAAGTTCCTTGATCATCATTGTATAAAAAAAATTGGACCCAAAGTTCCTTAATCAAATCAAAACCTGAAATTTTTGAATCAACTGAGAGAACAACAGTTCCTCAATTAAATTAAAGTGAAGGTCATAAGCGCCTCAGTCCACAGACTATTAAATGAGGGCCATAAGTTCCTCAATTCATGTACAGATTAAGTATGGGTATGAGTTCCAAAAATATGAACCTAAAATGATGTCAATATTGAGAATAAATTTCAAGTCCTTATGAATAATATTTTGACCTGAAGTTCAAAATATGAATAATGTTAAGAATTTGAAGTTCTAACATTTTGTGTAGACATGTGTTATGTGTGGTATGAGTTAATTATCGCAATTTCTGTCATACCTAAATTTCTTCTTTTTGAGAATAAGGAATGGTGAACTTAGCAAAGCTCGATTTTGTGACCATCGACATCTTACAGAAGAGATACTTTCATGAATTCATAATGCTCGAGAATTCATGTGGAAGCATATGATATTAGAAAAAAATCTTTGCTTAAAGGCTCATTGATTCATATTAATGGAACTAGAAGTTTCCATAGTTTCCTATATCTAACAAACTGAACTAGAAGTTTCAGGCATGTATAAAACCAGAAGATAAGGAATTTTCCTATATATATATATATATATGTATGTATGTATGTATATGTATATGTATATACACACACACACACATACATACATACATACATACATACATACATACATACATACATACATACATGTGCATACACATGAGTTACAACTACAAAAACAAACAAATGGGGGGGGGCCTTCACAAAGGTTGCTCATGTGAAGCCTCAGTACTTGGCAATACCCTAGAAGGGGGAGACACTGGAGATTGATCATGTGACACCCGAGTACTTGGCAAAACACCAGAAGGGGAAGGCATCAGTTGCCTTCGGAATCTAGCCACAAATCTCTGGTGATCACTTTGAATCCAACTTTCGGATTCCTGCAGCTGGTCGAGTTTTCTTTTCATGCTTGTCTAGAAAATATTTGCAAGTTTGTGCAACTCTTTATTCTCGTGCTTGAGCCCTCTAATTTTTTGTCTAAGATTTGCCACCTCAGCCATTAATGTTTCAACTTGGTGAGTTCGAGTAAGTAGACGTTGGCTCATGTTGGATATTGAACCTGCACATTGAACAATAAAAGTCAAAGAGTCTTGAACAGTCAATTCATTAGACCTTTTTGAAAGTATTATTTTGTCTCTAGGAGTGAGAAGGTTCCTAGCTACTACTGTAGCCATTATATCATCCCTCATTACACAGTCTCCAACCGTAAGAGGGCCATTAGAAGATAAAAAGGACGGGCTCCATATATTATTCTGACGTGGCTCGTGTGTATCTCCTCCGAGACTCAAATCTAAACAAAGGTTGGATGGGCAAGCCATTTTCAAAAATGATGAAAGAAAAAGGTTGGATAGATTGAAATCTCATAAATACAACAGAGATAATTTTCATAGGTGGGCAACCTTTAAAGCGTGCATTTGAATACAATTGATACCCCTATAAAAGGAGAGGCAACACAACCACCTGTTCAAAAATCGAAGAAACACCACTCTCCAAATTTCAAAAGCCGGATTTTCCTGAATAAAGTTTGTCAACATTTCTTAGACGCAATCTCAATTTTATGGATATCAAGGACAACTCTATCAAAATATCTCTGGCAAAGTGAAATGCGTAAAGTTCACTATTCTAACTACACCACTGTTGCCAACAAGCGTGGGTGACAAGGCCACATCCGCACCACTACCTGCTATTGGGAAATCCCTAGATATGTCGACCTTAGACCTCCATGGCAAGGCACACCTTAAAAGAATAGTTCGTTACTATTCATCCAAAGAAAAATCATATAGATTATTATTCATATAAAGAAAAACATATGGGTTACTATTCATGCACATTATTTCACTATTCATTTGAGGAAAGTTTGTCAAGTGAATAGTGTTGCTATAGTAATCTTTTGCCTATAAGATGAGAGCATATGGAGGAAGGAAGAAGTGAAAAGAAGAATAAAGAGATGAGAGAAAAAACATTCAGAGGAAAGAAAGAGGAGTTATGGAGGAAAAGGAAGAGAAGAGGAAAGAAGAGCCGGAAGAAATTACCAGTGAGCCAGGTTAGAGAGAAAAAAGAAAATAATGAGAGTTATTTTGTACTTCTATTATTTCAAATAATGAAAGAAAATACTACTGTTGTCCCGATGACGCAGGCATACTTATTAAATCTTGTAAATATTGTATGTTATTTACTTTATCATACTGCACACATATCGTCAACTTTACAACAGCTCCAAGTTTAAATCATGAAGAGCAAATTTGGAAAGATGGAGGTGTAGCAATGTATACACGAAACGAAACATGCCTCATCATCCCACTTTTATTTTGGCCACATTATTCCATTCTGATATACCCTCACCGATTTACGGCTTTTTGTTTTTGGCCCCACACTCAGACACTCCCAACAAATTCTAGCCTAAATTATCATAGAAGAATTGCTAGCAAAACTCGCCTTGCCAAGATTCTCTCCTCGAGGTCTTCACGTGTATTCTCTCTTCACAACTTTAATGTGTATTCCACTCAATCGAAGAAATGGAATACACGCAGAGAAGAAAGAAAGGAATTTTCTTTTTAAAACTTGTCCAACCGTTGGCCAAAGCAAAACAAAAATGTTGAATGCTTGGCTCAAATATGTCTTTACGATCCGTGTAAAAATTATCGTTTCAGATAATTAATTAAAACTAACGCTTTTGAGTCAATCAACAATGATTAGACGACAGTTCGTATCAAATTTTTGTATATTACTATTCACATGTTTATTTTTACTGCTACACGTCACCTAGCCTCATTCATTAAATCGAATAAATTTAAAAAACCAAAAATCATGTCTAAAATTTAGCATAGCTATGAGAAGTTCAGTGACAAAAATATCTCATGTTTTGACATAGTAATTCATAGCATGAACATTCGATCGCAAGCACGCTGCGCGAAGATGCGTGTGAGAAGGAATTTCTGCTCATACTTTAGGAGTCAACTTGAACTCAACGAAAACTACGAGACAAACTTTCAAAAACATCCAAACCCATAAGCCATCATTAAGATTATAACAACTTCATTAACAACATGATCAAGAAAAAAAATAAATTAAAGAAATTATTGGGTTGCTAATTAATTAAGTAGAGGAACAAGAGTTTTGACTATCTCTAGGAGATTGCAGAGGAAACAGAGGCAAAAGCTCAGGAGTGTGGTCAGTCGTCCCTCTGGGTGTACTTAGCGGACTTGGGTGCAAATAGAACCCCTTCCCAGCAATGGCTCGATCTTCCTCTTCACACAGAGACGCCGGCGGCGTCCTCGGGCTCCCACGTCCCAGAAAATCCAGGGTCGAAACGGGCGACGCCATCACCATCTCATGGTTCCCAAAACCTATAAACCCTGCTCCCACTCTGGGCAGCCTGCCGCAGGGCCCACACGAGGAGGATGATGGGGTTGCTGCGGCGGCGGTGTTGAGGTTGAGGCTGAGCTCGAGCTTCTTGGTGGCGTGTCTGCGCTCGTGGAGCTTGAAAGCCGGTCGCCGGGGCCCCATTTCGGAGGCGGTGGGAGGTTTGGGGGTGGAGTAGCGGGCGGGGAGGGTGAGGGGTAGCTTTGGGGCAGATGGGTCTTCGGGTGCTCCGGTCAGTCTTTGGACGACGGCCCGGAAAGTTGTGGGGTCGGCTTGGACGTAAGTTGTGTTGGACGAGTTGGGGTCGGACCCGTAAGTGGGTGAGTTGACCATTGTATAAGCCAAAGTGGATTTCTAGAGAGAGAGGGGCGGAAGGGAGAAGAGAGAGAAGGATGAAAAACAAAACGGGAAGAGGGGGGGCATCGAATGTGGGGGTTTTATCATGGTTTTGGGGGAGGGAGAGAGGGAGAGAGAGAGAGAGAGAGAGAGAGAGAGAGAGATTGCCTTTTCATTTAGTTTTTATATATTTTTGTATGAATTTGTTTTGTATGAGTTATCTGGGTTGTTGGTGAGTTGCTTTACTTTTTACTTTTTTTTTTGGGGGGGTGGTGAGAAATTTTTAATTGTGACGGGAACACGGATAGTACATCATGTGTTTTTATGTAAATGGAAGAAAATTTTAATTTTTAAATTATTAACCTTTTAATACACATTACTCACTATTTATATAAAAACACGTGATGTATTATATCGTGTGATGATGACATTGAAAAATCTTTTCGTGGTATGAGGTGGAAATGTCAGGTATTCGGCGAAAGTCAGAGGCAGAATCCAAAATATAAATTTATTTCTCGTGAATTAGGCAGCTACGGACAGAAAGCAAGAGAGAGAGAGAGGAACCCACTACGAACGTGATGCAGTTGGGTAAGTTTATTTTCTATTTTCCAAGACTCCGCCTTTTCACTTTATGGGCTCAAAGTCAATTATACTAGTTTTGGTTCCAACCAAAGTAGAATATTTGCTCTTAGATTAGCAATTTTTCTTCAGCATTTCGGAAAGCATTTTTGCTCACCGTTAAATGGTGGTAATGCTTATCATTTTACTCACGTGAATTTGAAAATGCTCACCTCCTGTTATGTAAAGATTTCAGAGTAGAGTTACTTTTTTATTGGAAAAAAAAAACCCAACCCAAGAAGATCTAAAAATATGAACATACCCCCTAGAAAGAGTTATTTATTACTAAAAAACGGTCTGTATCACGGATGAGACTCATTTTAATTAATCGGCGATAGAGTAACACAAGTGTCACATTGTTTAATTTTTTCTCGTGACAATTTCTTGAGTAGAAATTTATGTGACAATTGGAAATAGACAATTGTCAACCTATGTATATGTAAAGAGTTTGACGAAGACTCGAAAATTTGGACGTCGTAGAGGGAAAGGGGTGGCAATTGTGGAAAGCAAATATCGAAGCAACAAGAAGACTAATAAATGAGATAAGCCTCCACTTTTGATGGTCTCGCACTCTTTCTTTGCTTTGTGTACGTTTTTGAAACTTCTGCCAAGCTTCCCATAAAGTGCAGCACAGGCATGATGCGACTTTATGATGTTCATAATTAGCAGAAAGACAAATACACTATGTCATAATTAAAAACAATGATAATTGTGGTTAATTAACGAGCGATTGGACTATTTTATGATGTTCATAATTAGCGGAAAGACAAATACATTTTGTCATAATTAACAACGATAATTGTGGTTAATTAGCAAGCGATAGGGCCAAGTAAATAGAAAGTCAATAATGTTTTTTTTTTCCTTAAAAAGGGTATAGGTTAGTGGCTTTATCATGGTAGTCTATCTTTTCAGAAGCCAAAAAGATTAACATGGTCATTTCAGCCTTCTTTGGCCACCCTTGTGCGATTTACCAGCGTCAGAAATTGAACCTAGAACGTGTCCATGTAGAATACGAGCTGGGATTCGTCTCAACCACTGAACTACCCTGTAATGGTTGAAACTTAATAATGTTGAGATAAAGAAAAATAATTTTTAACTTGAGTGAGGCGGTGTGATTATTCGTAAGTTATTTGTCATACAAACATTCGATTTTTCTAGTTGTATTATTGTTACAACTAATCTTATTTGATCATATCTGATATGAGATTTGATCTAATCATACAATACTGACGGAGCTTCCCTCGCGACCAAACAAGTGTAGTGTTTTGAATTTGAAATTGTTTTGAAGGTGGTAAATGTAACGAATGGGGCTAGCTGGCATTGAATGATGAGTCATGGAGGTCAGCTAGGCATTGAAACAAGAAACGAGGAGAGACTACGCAGTCTGTCTGAAGCCTCAGCCTTCTCTCAGACTCTCAGAAATAGCTTCTTCTTTTTCTTTTGAATTTTACTTGTTTATTAAATTATTGGATTTTGTGGCTAAATTTGTTTCTCTTCCTGGTCTCTGAGGTTTCTTGGTTTGTTTGCGTGAAGTTTCCCCTTTGACATTTAGGCAGAAACAATAATGTTTGTTACAGCTTTCTCTATAATTTTCCGTTCTGTCTTTTGACTTTGCTTTGGTGCAACTAACGGATTCACCTTATCCCGTCCTAATTCAATAGTATATAATTTTGGGTAAAAATATAATAAAACTAATAAAAAATGCTTGAAAATTTTGAGTTTTAATGATAAGGATAAAATAAAAGGTAAAATGAAAAGTACTAGGATTGACTTTTTAGTATAAAAATATAGTTTTTCGTTAAAGTAAACAGTACTGTGTGTTTTTCGTTGAAACTCCCTAAAAATATTTACACGTCATAAGACATTATTGATCTAAAATGTTACGTATGAGTCATCAGAATGATGATTTCAGTAATCTAGTTTGTTTACTTTACTCTTCTACCTCCTCTGTACGTGGATTGTGGATTGCTTTGTTGGGTTGGTTTTGTTTTGCGTACTTTTTGACGTTTGTAGTTTTCGTGTTTTAGTGGAAGTCTTCCCTGTTTCTTTCACCGGCCAACCTCCTAATTTGCTCTATTTCTACTCCCTCTCCGCTCTCCCACTTCTAAATTTTCTTTCCTATTCTGCTTTAATTTCCCCTTCATATGAATGCCAAATTAACAAGCAAGAAAATAGTTGATTGATTGAGAATTTCAACGACATGGGATCGATAGTTCAGTTTGATATGTATGTTATTGTTACATACATGGAAAGTGGAAAGATAGTTTTCTAGCCAAAAACAAATTTGATGAATGTACCATTGCTGCAACTGTTTGGGCATGGTTTTTACACCTGAGCCAAATATTACTATATACAAATAATACATAATATAATATTTTTAGAGGCGAGCCTTCTTGTAATGAAAAAGTTGCTTCTTTTCAAAAAGAGAAAGTTCAAAAGAATTGAATTTTTTTGAGATTGAATGCAGTTGCTAATTTATAATCTGGTATGTACAGAATGAAAACTTCATTCTCGATTCTACGAGAATTTTTATAAAAATCTTTCATTTGCTTCTCTTCGATGGAAGTTTTATTTTCCTAGAATGTATCCTAATTTTTGTCCTAATTTTTCTTCCGATGATCGATTCAACCTCTGATAAAAAAGATATACCCTGATTATACTTCATCTCTTCAACAAGTTTAGTAATGAGCATAACGGTCCAATTGTTCTGATGGAGAGAAGAACCTACAATTAGCTTTTCGGAAAATTTCCAAACAAGCAATTTCTTATTTTACTATGTTCAAATATATAATATAATATATTTAGAGACGAGCTTTCGTGTAATGGAAAAGTTTCTTCTTTGTGACCCAAAGGTCACTGGTTCGAATCGTAAAAACAGATTTTTTGCAAAGTAAAAATAAGACTGCATACGATAAACGTTCCTTCTAGCCCCGTAAAACTGGATAGCTTGTTGACTTGGAGTGTGAACCAGTGAAAAGAGATTTCATTCATTGAAAAAACTGGACAAAAGATTACAAGTGATGATAAAAGGGGAACAAAAAGATGACAGACTTTGTCCAGTATCGGAAAGCAACAAAGATATAATCCAAGGGGGCTCATCTGCTTGGTTGCCAAACCCATTGATGTTATTAATATTTTGTTTAAAGTTAATATAAAGAATAACTAATGAAAAGAGTTTAAAAACTTTAAGTTTTAACGAAAATGATAAAATAAATAGTACCATAATTGACTTTTTAGTGTAAAAATGTGATTTTTCGTCAAAATGAACAGTACCGAAAATTTTTCGTTAAAGTTCCGTTGGGTTGAAAATTAGGTGTTGGTTTATTATTTAATTTAGAAAACTCATAGCCTAATAATTTAATTTACACTAAAAATGATTAGATTCAGCATAGGGTACCACTAACATCATGTCTCACTGGTATTATCTCTAACTTAACCATCTATTACCAGGTGTGAGGTTTTTTACTCAGTATAATAGTATCATTGAACCTCTCACATACAAATTATATATTATTTTGTTATATGTCCAAGGTTAGACTCTATTCTCCAACAAAAAATACTCCGAATGATATTGTTGGTTTTCTGTCAAAAATTACCCATCATGTCACTCAGCACAATCTACTAGTAAATTGGCACAGTGCAAGAAAGATATAGAGTTGCGACACAAACACAAGTGTTTAGGGAAAGAGATTTGGAGCAAAAATAACCCTCACAAAAACAACATATTGGGTTACTATAAATTTATATTCCTATTGTTGCTCTAAAAAACAATATATTGATACAGTATCAGCATTAAGTAGCGGAAATTTTCATCAAAGAGGGCTAGAAAAGATTAAATTTTCTGAGCAGGGTTAAATTTGACTGGTGAGTTTGTAAAAGGGCTACTAAAGCTATATTCCTTTTCTCTTTTGGTCTTTATAAAGGGAAGAGGATCCGGTCCGGATCTCTCCCATCAAATGTCTAGGATCAAGTGATTTGGACCATTGAATTTTGATCCAACGGTTAATTATTATTATAACTTTTAAAGGAACTTCCTATTTATAGCTGTTAGATCAAATTTCAACAGTCCGAATCACTTGATCCTGAACCTTTGATGGGAGAAAACCGGACCGGATCCTCTTCCTTCATAAAGATTTATGCTTCAAATTGATAGCATTTCAGCTTTCTTAAGTTCCAGATAACCTAAAAAAATGTGCTTATTCTCTTCCTTTAAGCATATATGCTACTATTTTCATTAGCTAGGTTACCTGTTATTTCTTATTAACCACAGACCGAACACTTGTCGAGTCCGTGGCCATTGGTGACTATCAACGGTGGAGATTCGACGACGGCTCCTTTAGAGTTTGATACTCCTCAATCACCAAAGAACAATATTCCTACATTCTCCTTCTGCGAAGTCAAAAGGTCACTTATCATATATATATGTCATCTGTTTGGATTCCTAGAAAGCATGGTAGATGATTCCCGGGGGAACAATTTAATCATTTGAACCATGTGTTGATGTACGTAGAGGACAATATCGTTGCAAGTACTTTTAGTGAAAATGTTTTCAGGTTCCAAAAACACTTGAAGTATATTTAAAAAAAATAAAAAAATAAAAAACAGCTGCTATGCGCACATAATCAGTTGCCAAAAGCACTCGGGACTAATGACTGCTTTTTATTCTGAAATTTGTGTACATATCATATTACTGTATTAACTAAGAAATTCTAAAAGCAGTTCACCACTTTGAAACCAAACATTCAATACCTCCACTTAAGAAAACTATTGACATTATTTCTGTGAAGCCAAACTATGTCATTCTTGCTACACAAGTAGAAAGCATCAGATGGATTTGAGAAAATCAAATCGCTGAAAGGGCCGACTGGGAGGGACACGGAAGAACATATCAATCCACGAACCATATATTGTCAAGAGCAGATTGTCAGGGGCAGGATATTCCTGCATTTGGTGCAAACAAAGATTTGATCCTCGAGTTGCGATTTATTTTGCTCCCATATGTCCTATGGAAATCTGCGCAAGGGAGAACCCATCATCCCAAAGCTAAGCAAGAAAGAAAGACAGAAAACTTTAAGGTAAAAGAAGTGAGAAGAGTACATCAAAGTGAAAGATCGGCCAGGTCAAAGGTTCTTGAAATAGCCTTAAACCATGAGTCCAGCTTCTTCTTCCTCAACTCTTCATCTAATTTTGGACGGAAAATGGATGGAATTCTTAGTCCTCTCTTCACAAGCGAAAATCTCCTTTTCGCTCCAAACACCAACAGCTAATCCAGCAGCATAGGCTGCTCCGAGAGCTGTTGTCTCAATGTCAGCTGGTCTTACCACTGGGCTCCCCAACAGGTCCGCCTACAGAACAACAAAACAAAGAATAAATTCAATCATTAACAGAATACAAAAAGGTTTCACAATACACGGAGAAGATCATATAGCAATGTAGGAACACCTTTTTTTTCTTTTTTCTGATCTGTATTTCATAAAAATTATTTAATAAACACGATGTCCACTGGCATTTCATTCAAGGAGATAGGGGTAAGGCAAAGATATCTACTCCTTTTACATGTTTGTCATAAAAATTATGAGCAACGAATATGTATTTTCAAACTTCTTTATACAAACAAATGTAGTTGAACACTCTTTACTAAGAATGTAGAAGCAAAATTGCAGTCTTCGCATGTTTTCATATCAAGCAATAGTTATATATATATATATATATAATTCCATAAGGAAAGCCGAGGATGGTTTGTTGGTAAAGGAATGAGTGGAAAGAATTGAACTTCTCCATTATCTGACGTACTGGAGAAAATGTCAAATATGTATTTTCACCATCAATTGTTGGATTACACAACTAATGGCTATTTTGACATGAGGACAACATGCTAAGAGTATGCCAAGGAAACCACAATTGCTAAAGTAATAGAAAGATACAAAAACAAATATTTCCATGGATGTTTCAAAAACTAGAGGGAACAAAGAGAAGGCTTGTAAACTAGACACAAGAAGAATGAAAAGGAAAGAATATGTGGGTAAAACGGTGGATTTGATTAAAACTGAACTACATACTGCGAGTTATAGCATAAAATATGAAAAAAGGCCCGAACCTGAATCTGCATTAGAAGGTTATTAACAGTAGCACCACCATCCACTCTGAGCAGAAATTCCCCCTTCTCGTTCTTAGCCTCTCCCTTTTCCCCAGCATCTTTGTGCATTGAATCCAACACATCTTTGACCTGGAAACACATACTCTCTAGCACTGCTCGACAAATGTGAGCCTTGTTTGTAAACCTTGTAATACCAATGCAAACCCCACGAGCATCATCACGCCACCACGGAGCAAATAATCCATTGAAGGCAGGCACAAAATAAACTCCACCTGTGGACTCAACCTGTAAAGCCAAATCCTCAATCTCACTCGCGCTCTTAATGATCCCAAGACTGTCTCTAAGCCACTGAACTGCAGCTCCAGCAATAGCAATCGATCCCTCTAGAGCATAATTTGTCGGAGCTTTAGGGCCAAGTTTGAATGCCAAAGTGCTTAGAAGCCCATGCGTTGACTGAATTATCTCTTCACCAGTGTTGAGAAGGATGAAAGCCCCTGTCCCATAAGTGCTTTTAGCCTCTCCTCTCCTGCAAGCTTGCCCTAACATTGCTGCATGTTGATCACCGAGACATCCAGAGATTGGGACACCAGTAATTGGCCATCCTGTGTTAATTTTTCCAATAACCTCAGAGTTACTGACAATTTTGGGCAGAATTTTAGCTGGAATTCCTAACGTTTTCAATATGGTACTATCCCACTCAAGGGTCTTGAGATTCATAAGCATAGTCCGCGATGCATTTGAGACATCAGTGACATGTATTCCTCCCTTGACACCACCGGTTAAATTCCAGATTAACCAAGTGTCTATAGTTCCAAAGAGAGCATCCCCTGATTGCACAGCCTCTTTCACCTTATCCACATTTTCCAACAGCCAGAGCAGCTTCAATGCACTGAAATAGGTGCTTATGGGCAAACCACATGTTTCCACAAAATGAGTTCTTCCCCCGGATAATTCTTTCTCCAATTTTCTGTAACCAAAATAACCGGAAAACTTACAATCATAAGACAACTACCAAAATCTGAAATGAAGATATGAACAGCAGGCGAATTGAAATTTTCTAAAAAACCAAACATGGAAAGGATCGATCATAAAAAAACATTCACGCCGAACTTAAAATACAAATAAGGGAAAATTGGAACATTGGTCCTGAACTTGTCACAATGTGGAGCAATATAGTTCTTTTGGGTAAAACTTCTGTCCTTATTGTGCCTTTAAATCCTTAATCGTGGATGGAAATTCCAACGGATTTTTAGTTTACGGACAAAGCTCCAACTGGACCAAACTCCGGGATCAATGCTCCAATCTTCTCTATAAATAACCCAATCAAATGAGCAGGAATCAAAATTTGAAAATCTAGGAAACCCACCTATCATTGAAATCATCGAAGAAAAGGGTATTGTATTAATACAAGAAAATACACCAGTAGCAGGAAAATCAGTACGGAATTATATCTTAATTATTAATGTTCATCCAATGACCAAACAAAAACACTATCAATATTCATCAAAATCCAAAAAATAACAAAAACCCAATTCAGGATCAGTGAAGCCCAATTGAGAAATCACAATTGCAGATTCTAACTTCAAATGCAAACAATTGCAGACATGAAAAAACAATGAAATAGTGAAAGCAGGTACCTGCAAATAGAACTGGTACGGACATCCATCCAAACAATAGCATTGTAGAGAGGACATCCAGTGGATTTGCTCCAAACCAGAGTTGTCTCTCTCTGATTGGTCAACCCTATGGCCTTGAGCCCACTGTCCACGTTGTGCCCATCAGCTGTGGCCTTGTCCAGCGCCTTCGCCATGCACACTCTCACACTCTCCAATATCTCCATCGCATCATGCTCGACCCACCTGCCCCAAAAAACCCAATTCAGGAAAACATCATATTTCCAAGAAAAAGTGAAAAAAAAAAAAAAAAATGGAGTTTTGATTGATTGATTTGCTTACCCGGCTTCCGGGTAGAACTGAGTGAACTCGACCTGGTGGGACCCAATAGCGCGGGCCGAACGGTCGTAGATTATGAATCTGGTGCTGGTGGTGCCCTGGTCAATCGACCCAATCAACACTTCATCTGGTTTTTTCGACATTTTTGTTTCTGCAAGCTCCAAAGATCCAAACTTTTGTTCTGGATTTCTGAAGAGGAAGAGAACGAAGAGTGAGGATTTTGGGAGAAATGGTTTCTTGGGATTGTGGACAAAGTTTATCCAACCACCATTAATGGGGTTAAATTAAAAAATTACAGAGATTGTATTGGTTGGATAAGATTGATGAAATGAACTATGGAAATACAGAGAGAAAAATTTGGAATTTTGTTTGGGATTTTAGAATTTTAGTGGAGAGCTTCATTATTGGCGGAGAGTATGAGGTTTTAAGTTTGTGTGACGTAGTTTCATTTCCGGACTTGGAGGTAGTTGGTTTTGCAACGACTTTGACCGCTATTGGCATTATATTTATGGCGCCTCTTTTGATTTTGTGACGCACTTTTGCTTGTGATTTTCGGCACGCTCTTGACTTATTGCACACCCTTCTTCACATTCACGGGACTTTCTGATTAATGTTGTAATGCATCTCACGTTCAAACTTTTGAGTCGAGAACTTCGACATCAACTCGAGTATACTGTTATAGTAGTGTATCATGCTAATGATAAATATGAATTGTGGAGCCAAAAATAATCAAGAAAATTATGAAGGTGACACGTGGACTTTTAGGTTAAAATGACAAAATTACCCTCGAGATACATCAGAATTCTCATGCGCATACCATGGACAATAACTGCTCGATCAAGGAAGAGTCAAAGGTGATCAAAATGGTATTTATTCAAATCTCTCTCATCACTCCTCATCAAATCTTTGTTCAAAAGGTAACTCCCAAAACTTCCTATTTAATTTGGGATTAATTACCATGTTAATTGTAAGATATTATTTCACATAATATCTTGCAATTATTTTCCAATTACACCATATATGGCTGGCCATTATTATCCAAATAGGGCCAACCACCCTCTTATAAATACCCCTCTTATCCCATTAAAATGGAGGGTCATCTACTATCCACAAACTCCTAAACCCATTCTTTTCATAATTCTAACTTTAGCATCGGAGATTCTTCGGCTAAAGCCCTTCATTCATCATGGAAGCGTGAGGCTTTTGGCCTTAATCGAAGGTGTGATTATTTTGCAGGTGCATTTTCATCAAAGGAAGAGATGGCCGAAATTTGCATCCACAAATTGGTGATTTCATTGAGAGTTTGATTCACACGCTCGAAGAAGACTCTCACATTCAAAGTTTCTCAATTCTCGTTCATTCATAATTTTTTTAATTCTTTGAATAGACGTAGGAGAAAAATACAATGGCGGGAAAGTCGGAAACCACAACAAACGAAACTTCTTACATTCAAAAATCCAAATCAAATGATAAAGGACGCGATGTAGACCCACCATGACGATTCATGAGACTCATCGCGACAAGAGGAGTAACCTTGCCACCACGGAGCACCACCACCATGGCAGCCATGGCAATTGCCGTGGCAGTGGATAGTGGCAACCAACCCAAGACTCATAGGCCCATAACGTAACGCCAGCCCAAGCCACGCTGAGAAGAGGAAAGGCCCAGTGCCCGCGCACCCCTGTGGCCTAGCCCAAGCTTGTGATCTGGCCATGCCCGCGATCAGACCCGCACCCGCGGTCCAGCCCACTCCCGTGGCTCACCTAGCTGCCCAGACCGGTTCAACTGTCCTGGCTTTAGATTTTCGGACTGACAATTGAACCAGGGGTATTTTCACCCCATTTTTCTGCAAATTTGACACATCTCAACTCAAATCTCGCGCCTAGAGTCCATTGCACTTCTACTACTCAAGGAGACGCATACCATCCAAGCTATTCCATCCCAAATGACGAACAACACTTGTCTCGACAAGTCATAAAGTTAACAAGTGCCCTCGTGCAGCAGACGACCTTGGTGAATCAACTTTTGCAACGAACCGAGATGCAACGTGCCCCAGACAAGGTATCCCAAAGTAAGACAATGGCTGATGACGAATCTCTCCAGCAGCGTCCCAGCAAGCAGTCTTTTAACTATCCATGAACCAAGCGTTCTGGCAATGTACACTCCTGTCTAGACCCCTGAGATAGCATATACTCTCGTCTTAGCATGCAGAGAAGCATGCACTCTTGGTTAGGCCCACGAATGAGCATATATTCACATTTGGGGCCACATTCCGATAATTAACATGGACAACCTACCAATCGAAGTGTTCATTCGTGGCTAGGCCCGCAAGAAGCATCATTTACTTCACATCGGAGTAGGTAGCACGGCGGATGGAAAGAAGCAGTCATTCAATCCGGCTTAAGTTTAACCGGTAACCTGCGAGTGACCCACTCGCCTGCCAGGAATGTACCACATGCACCACAGTCGTGGCATAGACGAGTCAAGCATAAGGAAAAGCAGCCTAGACCAACAGGTCACGACTGAGGGCAGCCGAAAGCTCTGTTGCCCCAGAAAGGAAATTTTCAGGAAGAAGTTGAGAGGCTCCTAATCGCACGATTGCATGGTTTCCAACTTAATAAAGCTACTAACAAAGTACTCCGACGAGACATGACCAACATAAACATGTCACCTTTCATTGACAAGATCGAGTAGACGGAACCATCCCACATACACTGGAGGATACAATGATTACTTCTATTCCAACAAACGCATCAACTCAGCCTAATCGCGCGCCGAATGCAGACAGGTACCAGAAGGACACACCGGCCCAACCACCAAGAACCAGGGGCATGTCTTGTTTTCATCACAACTCCGCGCTCAAAGTCGTGCCTACCTGCTTCACGACCCCCGACCACCCTTGATCTATTACCATGGCTCACAACCGTGTCAATCTTGCACCAAGGCTCCCAGTCGTGCCACCTTCATGCTCCTATCTACGTTGACCAAGCCCACGTTACTTCAAACTTCAAAGCATCCAACGACAGAGCAGAATACAAGGCCTTACTAGCAGCATCTACTAGCGAAAGACTTAGTGGTGAAAAAGCTTGCAATCCATTCAGATTCTCAGTTGACTACAAACCAAGCCTCAGAAGAACACACGATGAAAGGAAGTTGAAGTTTAACTTTAGAATAATACTTAGCCACATAAAGATGAGTAAAAGTTTCTACTCAAAATTGTTCATTGTAAATATATATAACTTCGTGTCTATGATCAGAACCGTTTATATTATAAATCACTCTATAAAGATCGCCTATACTAAAATTCAATTAAAATTTAAGGTTGTTCAGTCATCGGACTATATTACAAACCATCTATTCATTTGTTACAATAAACTGACTACACGATTTTTTGCATATATGATTTTATTTTTGTAGATATGATCTTTATAGAGTGATTGATAATATGAATGGTTCTGATTATAAGTACGAAGCTCTGTTATTCGAATATAAAATTTTTTGAGTAGGAGATCCTATTCATCTTTGAGTAGTGTAAGTATTATTCTTAACTTTATATACAAATCACACATGACGTAAGTGATCTACACTACAGATGGATGTGAAGGCCGCTGGCACTGCATAGGAAACGCAAAGTGATGCTTATTAAAGTAGGATTAGAGCAGCTTAGCAACCTTTACCTGCACAAGATTCAGTTGCACCAATATTTGTTAGTCTTACTTGTCCCAACCATGTCTTTATTTATGAGTATAGTTTTGACAACAATGACTAATTAGTTACGAATATAATTAACTAGTACTATCCTATTTGGCGGTCATTTATGCTTCTTGGGTGTCATTACAACAGATCTAATTGTTAGATGATAGTGTTAAGTACTTGTACTGATATTCTATGTTACTTTAGTTTACGAGAAAAAGATCTAAATTTTGAGTGTAAATGAGCGAGGATAATATCTCTACAAAGCCCCAAGGTACTGTAGCCACACTCCATGACAACATTGTTACATTGGTTAAAAAAATAAGAGTGAAATAACTAAATGTAAAAGATGTGAAGGAAGACATTGTCATGAAAGGGAGAGATTTTTCAATATGTCTCGCACATAGGGTGGTACGCCATATGTCATACAAGTGGAGGAAAGTTTTTTTTTTTTTCTTTTCTTCTAAGTGTCCATCTTCTTGTATAATGACATATGACATATGTGTTCGTGTTTTGCACACACTCTCTCCATGAAAAGAGGGCTCCAAATTATTTGTTGATTATACACACACACATCTATGCTAATATTGAGTTAAAGTTAGGGCTAATTAAGTCTCTAACATAATTACCATCACTAAGCAAATACTAATTAATATCACCGCACAATCACACTGCCACATATCTAAAGCGCTAACACGATAATTGTATCTCACTAAGCGAAGATGCCGATTGCCGGATTCATTTTTAACTTTTGCAAAAAGGACATTTTTCACGTCAAAATCATCCAAAACCCATACCTGCATAAAATTTGAATGTATTTGATAACCGAATGGACAACTTTTTTTAAATTAAACTACCATATGGCCACACACAAAGCGTGAGAAAATTTTTTATTTTTGTTTTTGAAATAAAAGGAGAGAGGAAGGGAGTGGGAAGTTTATTTATTTATTTTTATTTTTTATAATTAGAGATATGTTAGGATTACATATAAGTGAGACTTAAAAAAAAAAAACAAAATTTGGTTGTCTGAAATTACATTTCTACCTCATATTTCTTATTCATGTTATGTTTTAATTAGAGAATTAAACTGGTAATTTTATAAGATTTTGGTTGACAATGAATGTTTTAGTACTTAGTAGAGATAATGGCTTGTCGACATACCGTCAATTATGTGTCGTTATAATTGTAGTAAAAAAAAAAAAAAAAAAGAGTATTAACATTTTATTGATATATTATCAACAAAAGACGGCCGTCGTTTACGTTGAATTTCTGCGTTCTTATATCGTATACAGTGAGACCAACGTCCAACGTTTCAGAGCTTGTCCACCTTTCCCTTGGGATATTGTTTTGTTAACAGAAGGACTTAAAGGGGGCGTTTGTTGCGCCGGACTATCTCGGACTGAATTAGCTTCAAGGACTAAGCTGGACTAGCTTAGACTAGACTAAACTAGACTAACTTAGTGAAGCGTTTGGTGCAGTATTGGACTAAGAAGCTGGATAATAACAAATTATAATATTATATTATTTAATATATAAATTATTAATATTTTATTATGATCTTATCTTTTTCTTCATTTTTTCCTACCATTTCCTCGTTAAATCAGATGAAGTTAGCACCGCCAAAAAATTCATCACCATCCCTAGACCGAGATCTTAGCTTTGAATGCTCGAATCTGTCATGGATTTGAAGAAGCCCAAACAGGCCGAGACTTCCAGGCCATTTTCCAGTCACATTCGACCACATTTTGGCCTCGATTCAGGTAAAATCGTAATCTTGTC